CTTAAAGCTCTTGAAAGTTTCAAGACTTAATCAAGAATAAAACCTAAAAGTCCTTCACTAGCACACGACTTGAGGTTTATAACCTATCGTGTTGAAATTTTTGTGCCTATTCAAGTTGGCTTTGCATAGGAGTTCTGAGAGTTCTCAATTGGTTGCACAACTACTTGGAAGCAATGGCAGGCACCTGAGCTGCCAAATGGCAAGAATTTAAGATTGCACAAGTTTAATCAATATGAGTTTGGATTTGTCACTAACCTTGTCTTGTGATTATGGTTTTGACAAATTCACATGGATAAGAACACATACACTATTAAATCTAAGTGTCATAAGGTTTCTCTCCGATTCATGAAAATGATGGTGAGGAAACACTTTCACTAAGTAGATTTTAGCTAGATAGCAATTGTGATATTTGCATTCTCAAAGTCGTTAGTGGAGCGTATGTGGTTTACCGGCACACTAACATGGACTTGTGAGAAGTGGCAAAGGTCTAAACAATTGAGACTATGATTACGTCATCCCTTTTCATAGTTCTAAAAATTGTTTAGACACACATGTGAGCTATCTAAGAGAGGTGTATGATTTTGATAAAGTTTTATCAAAACAATCTAGTATCAGAAATCTGAACTTTGGTAAGAAAGTCAGCTGATTTCTGAGTACATATCAAAGCTAGTGGGAGCATAAGTGTTATGCTAATAATCATCATGTTAGTGGGAGCATGATAATTATGACAAATGTTGCAAGTTAGCAATGTTAATTATAGAAAACAAAAGTTTCAATTCGTGAGGTTGCGGGGGTTGAAAAAGTTGTTTTGCTATAATTAAGAGAGATGAAATTATACTTCATTTCAATTCTAAAAGCTTAGATTGAGATTTTAATCGTATTTAATCAAGGATATATATATGAATTTCATGTTGGAATGGCTCAACATAAGGAAATTCTATATATGGGTCCATTATTTGCGTTATAAAATTCGATTATGATTACGGCATCCCTTTTCATAATCTGAATTTTGAGAACTTGGCAAATTGAAATGGAAATATTATAGCAAAAGACTGGTTTAGTCTTTATGTGAGACATCATGAATCGTGTCCCATATGCTTCGGATATAGGATCGATTACATGTGCTATATTCATCCTTTCTAAAATTTTCCAAATGCCTGGGGCATTATGAAGGGAAAAGGTCTAGAATTGAATATGACTAAAATGATTAAGCAATTGTCGAGGACAATCTAAGGTTTACCAAAGATTGGTTGCTCAAGGACAGTTGGAAGTATAATGTTAATTCTGGAAGGACCATATTGACATAATCTGTAAGGAGGCAACTCTTGTTCAGAAGTGATAGTCAAAATGGAATATGGAAATGTTTCAAAGTTAGAAATTATTCAATCTGTGTAAGATTAGGAAACTTAATGAAAGAAGGATGTTTCCAAGGAGCTGATCTCCTTTGGAATGCTCTGTAATGATTGTTGTCAAGTCTTTCTGACTTCGTGCATAATCATTAAGAGGATCAATGCATATAAGTTTAGAATCTAACAGATTTCAGTAAATGGCATGAATTTGGAATTCTTGCATTTGTAGTAAGGATTTGGGACTGTGAAAAGAGGATCATTGGAGTGATGTTCAATTGATATATTTTACAAAGTAAAGATCATAGACAAAAATAGTATGCATACTTGGTGTATGGCATGACTAGTGTTTAGAAAACATAGTGTACATGCTTGGAGCATGGGACAACTATTGTTTAAAATTCAAGTATAAAGTTGATAAAACCGAAACAATGAATAATGAGTAATCAGTATGGTGATAAATAAAAGTGTTTATTTATATTCATAGGGTTTGATACCATATTTGATTCATTTATTCTTGTGTTTCACTTTGCATGTTTTGACTTCCAGAATAACTAAGTCGCTCTTCCTGAATGATTAAGTTATTCAAACCATCCACATTCGGTCATATGTTGGAAGTAGATATGAATCAAGACTGTCATGGGTTGGTTTGTAGAGGTCCAAGTTGGTGGACAAAGTGGTGCTACAACACTCATTAGTGCTCATAAGTTCTGAGTATTGGATTCAACCAACGCTCATTTGAATCACTTCATGGATTTTATCACGAGTGATCATGAGACGATAATATCTTATATTCTTCAAACCTAGAGATATGAATTGTTACTATGAGTTGGTTATACATTGATTGCACGAAAACGCATTGGTAACTCGATGTTATAAAACGTGCCTTTGTGTATGATTCAACAAGTAGTAGAACAAGCCATATGAGTCGAAGTTTATCCATTCCTTTTACCTTCGGGATAAAAACGATATATGTGGGCCCCTCGATGATTTAAAGATGATACATGTGAGTGCTTGGCCAAGCCAGGACTGATTTGATTTGTTCAATCAGTCAGTCATCATGAATCGGAAATCAGGAAACAACAAATGGACAGAAAGAATGATTGATAATCCATGTCTCAGTCCATATGATATATAGAATGGAGGAATATATGATCCCTTATCTAATGGACAAGTCATTGACAAAGGTCAGAGTTCATCGACAAGGTCAGAGTTCGACAGAAGCTTTTGAGAGCTACGATTGCTGATCGGTTCCTGAAGTCATACACAATAATAGTTTTAGACTTATCCAAGTGGGAGACTGTTGGATTAATGTCTAAGTCCATAACTATAATTGGTAAGACTTGACCCGACCCGACATGGTCCATTTGGGTTGCATGGCATCATGCATTTGGATAGACTATAATGAGAGAAATAATACTTAAGGTTGGTTAATATATTATAAGTTCTAATATATTAATAAGGTTATTTAATTAGTATTGATCAAGAATTAATTTGGAATTAATTAAGTGATCAAAAGGATACTAATTAAATATATGGGTTGATTGTGTAAATCATTCATTCTTATATATGTGGGCTTGTGATCCAAGATTCCTTATGTTGGACTAAGTCCATGGGGTGACCCATGGATACTCCATGGAGGTTAAAATCCATGGAGCATAAGGAATGGGTAAAGTTATGAGTTACATGGTGTAACCCTAATAGCCACCATATAAAAGAATCCCATGGCTTAAGAAATCGTGCACTAATGTGTGAGTGTGAGGGCTAGACGATTTCAAGGAGTGTTCAAGTTTCTCTCAAGTTATTCCAAGTGTATTTGGTGTTGTGTGAACCATTTGAGGTGTCACACTTGGGGCACTAGGCACTCAAGCTTCATGAAGACATTCTACATCAAAGAGGTATGTATTCTATCTTGTTATATTTATTATTTTGTATGCTAGATTAGGATAATACCATGGATGTTCATAATTGTATGTATAATAGAGAAAACATAGATCCAAGGTATTTAGGGTTTCATGTACACTTAGGAGTGTTAGAATGCTCATAACCCAACAGCTAGTCCAATACTCTTAAACACTTAAGCTTGAAGTTCATAACCAAAGTATGAACTTCAAGAGAGTATAAATGCAAGTAATCTCCAAGTGTTCAAAGCAAAACTAGGGAGAATGAGAGGGATAGAAGAGATTTCGGCCTTTTGCATCAAGAAGAAGAATGAGCAAGTAGCCAAGTGAAAGCCGTCTTATTTATTTGCATAAAGTGAAGTTATTAACTATTAGTTCCTTCAACTTTAGACAAACTTGTCTCCATGTCATAACAATGTGCATGCATGCTTCTAAAGCATGATTTCTTTTGAATAAACAAATTGAAAGTCCATGCTTTTCTTTCTTTCACCAATTTCCGAAAAAGATATAAAAAAGAGATGTAATAGGTTTAAATTTTATAAAACCAAGTTTTATAAAATATAAACTTTGTCTTTTGAGTAAAAGACAAAAGGTTTTCAACTACTCCAAAAAAGTTGTACATAACTTATTAATTCATACCATATGAATTATGTAATGTTACTTGCTAATGAAAATTATTATCTCCATGAAATAAATAATTTCCAATTTAATTATAAGAGTTTTATTGAATATTTATTAAAATCAATTTGTAATAAATAATCAATGTATCAAGTTGTTGTTAGTGTGACCCATTAGTATCATATGTTATTTAGCAATATCACTTTAATATGACTCTTGAGCATACTGGACCTTTCAAATGTCCAACATAATTGAACTTGAAGCATGATTTCTTGAAAAGAAAACTTACCTTAATGAAGAAAAACAAGAATCAAGAACCTAAAAGAGAAGTAAGAAGAACATTTAATCCAGCATCTGAAAGCCTACATGTACCTCTCCAGGATATATTAGTCAATTCAGACATCTTTGAGTTAGCCAAAGTTGTGAATATGACATAGTCTGGTAAACATCTTAAAATTTTTTAATTTGGGAACCAAGATCAAAAGTGTGAAAAAAAGTCAGCAATCATAATAATAATAAAAAAAACAATGTATAATAAAGAAGATTATCCTCATTAGTTGTAATCAATTAGCATCCCATGACTGAAACGGTAAAATAATCCAAACACAAAAGTCAAGCATACATCTTTTTTTTTGTTTTTTAAATTTACCTTTAAACTTTTTGGTTCTCAGAAAAACAATAAATCTTTGTGTACATAAAAATGAAGACATTAACTTTTTCCTGAAATTTAAAGGGTGTTATTAAGGAAACCTTACGTTAGTGGTGCTTGCTGCCAGCAGCAGCCCATGGAACAATTGCGAATAGGGTAAAAAATGATAAAACTATCGATATATGCATATATGAATTTCAAAGCCGAAAGTCCTTATTCCTGAAGAATCCCAAAGTCAATTCCTCCACAATAGATTCAAAAAGATATATTAGCTTGATGCCCTAGATCAGAAAACCGATAGAATGAAAATACAAACAAATAATTACCAGGTTGATGAAAAAATTAGCAGCTTTGGTTTGAACCAACCGACGATTCCGATTGTGGATACCCAAATTTGAAAAGTCGATGTGACTCCATGTATAAAGGTTGAAAGCAGATGATGTTTTTCTGGTTTTCTTCTCCTCTCAATATGTGATGAAATAAAATTTAAGAAATGGCGACTATACCCACATAATTGAAAAAGGTCACCGATTTTGCGTTTTTCCAAGTGAAATTGACAATTTTTGAGATGAATTTCAGAGAAAAGACCAAAAAATTGGCGACGACGAACAACCTTGGTGGAGTGGTGACGGTGGAGAGATTTGGGAGGATGCTGAAAGCTTCTGGGATGATTCCTGATAAGTAGTTTAGAGACATGTCAAGTGAAGAGAGATTGGATAATGATCCAAATGATGAAGGGATTAATCCAGTGAGTGAGTTTCTGGACAGATCAAGAACGGAATGATTCAATAACTGACCTAAAGTTGATGGAATGGTGCCTGTGAGAGTTACCTGATAGATATAATTCATGAAGATTAGATAAGTTCCCGAGAGTCGAAGGAATTGCACCAGATATTTAACAGAATCTAAGGTCAAGAACTTGAAGCGTTCGAAGTTGAAGACCGAATCTGTTAGGGATTGAACCAGGTAGAGTGAATCCAGAAGCGTTGAAGGACACCAGATGCTTAAATTCGCAAGTGACTCAGCTTCAAGTTGAGTGTTTTTTTCTTCCAGCTCGTGTTCGCTTAAACCCAGAAACATTGATTCCGGTAGCCCTGCCATTATGACATGAGATTCTGACCCAATGGAAACACGGAATCCCCTATCTCTATCTCGTTGAGAAAAGAAAGTCTAACCTTTCAAGACGATAAATGATTTTGTGATGGAGAAATTAGGGTTTTGAGTGTAATTGGTGACCCACAATCGGCGGCGAGAAGGTGGGCTCGGGATCCCTTTCCTTCCGATCGACTGAACACATTCAGATAGACAAAATGAATGATGGATGAGGGGTATTGCCAAAACGGTGCGACGCAACGAGAAGAAGAGAGAGAGAGACGATGAAAGCATAGATGGCGGTGGAAGAGAGAATCAAGCTCTATTAAGAAGAGAGTGTGAGTGTGTGAGTGGAGGAGTCGGTAGAAACATTTGAAAGCAGTAGTAAATGAGGTGGTGGAGAAAGGTTACAGAAGCTGCAGTAATGAGAACGAAAAAAAATAGTGGTGGGAAGTTGAACTGACTTTCGTAAACTTCCAAATAATGAAGCGGTGGAGAGGACACTGATCCCATTTTTATTGGTTACACCGACGGTGGAATCAGACAGATTAAACAAGAAAAAAAATCCCACCAATAGAAATAAACTACTATTCCTAAGGGGCTTGTTATTTACTATATTATATTATAGGTGATATGTAACTAATACATTCAAATAACAAAAATAAATCCAACATATCTGTTATACTAAATTAACAGTTTGATCACCTAAATTAGATGTATTCTGAAAAAATGTTACACATTGCAATTAATTAATATGCTGATATTGAAGTATATTGAAAAAATATTACAAATTAAAACATACATGCAAATTATTAAAAGAAATACATGAAGCCTTTTTGCTTTATATCCATAATTGTTTATTTAAAATATATTTATTTTAGAGTCTTTTCTTTAATAATTTTATCTTTTGTTATAAACAGGAAATAATGGATATATCTTGTAAAAATAGACTAATTTATGAGTAGAAGTTATGAGATTTAAATCAAGATTCTAAAATCATGAGAATGCCCTCCTAATTTTGAAGAAACATATGTGGTGTGGAGGGTAATTTTGAAAAAAACAAATATAAGATTGCCATTTAATCTTAAGAGTATCTATTTTTCAACGTAATGTACCAATATATTTTTTAACAATAAGTGAAAAAGAAACAAGTACATACATCTTAATTTATTAAGTTTTGTATATATATTAAGTGCAATAAGTCAAAAAGAAACACTACCTAAGTCAAATATAATAAATGTGATAGTTATTATATTGTTATACAATAGCATATAACAGGGTCAAAGTTGAAATCGATTTTAACTAAATAAATTTCATATTTTTAGAATGGTAATCAAACGTATATAATCATATACATGTGAACCAATGAACTAAAATGTGAACTAATGAACCAAATATTGCTGTGGTTTCATTATTGAATAATAATAGAGAGTAAATTTACAATGAAAAAGAAAAGACAATATAAATAGAAAAGTTAATTAGGGTAAACCTAGCAAAGGGATAAAGAGCCAAACATAAGCCAAACTAGAAAAGGGCTTAATAACTTTATAATGCTAACATCCACCCCCCCCCTCAAACTAATAATGTCACAACAATAAGCACTGAGAGTTTGTCATTCAGAAAATGAAACTGAGGAGCAATTAGGTCTTTCATAATATATTAGCAACCTACATTGTAGATGAAACATGAGGAAGCGAAATAGTCCCCTATTGAAAGTAGTGACGAGTAAAATAACAATCAGACTCAATATGTTTTGTTCGCTCATGAAACACTGAATTCTTAGAAATCATTATCGTAATCTTATTGTCATAGTCCAAATGGGTAGGCTGAGAAATACAAACACTCATAGCTCAATAATCAGATTATGTAGATAATCGAGAGACAAAATCTTGTTTCTGACTCTTCCATGAAATTAACGAATCTCCAAGAATGATATAATACCTAGTAGTAGAATTGCAATCATAAATATTACTATCCTAGTCAGCATCACCTTTTGGAGATTGTGAAACTTCAATCCTTAAGAAATACGGTTAGCCAAATCATGCTTCAAGGTTTCTATACCATCATGATCATCGCCAGTAATATCATATCATCAACATTTAAGTAAAGAAGGAATTAAACTGCACATGTACCTCTAAGAAACAAAAAAGAATCATGAAAATTAGATTAAAAACCAAGTGAAATAATTACCGTAGAAAATTTGTCAAGCCAAGCATGAGGAGCTTGTTTGAGACCATACAATGCTTTCCAAAGCCGACAAACTTTACCTGACTGATGAGCAATACCTGGTGGAGGAGACATGTATGCATCCTCATAAATAAAAACATTCAAGATTGCATTCTAGACATCCATCTAATAAATCTTCCATTATCGAATAGAAGAAACAACAATCAAAGTGCGAACAATTGTCATTCAAGATTTCATTCTTCACATCAATCTATTAAATCTTCCATTATCTGAAGTAGGGGTATTATATGAAGAAATGTCTTCACTATCAATGCTAAATTGATCAATAGCCCAAAGTTCCAAACGAGTCACATTGTGTGACTGAACAAGAATGCTATAGAAAGGAATATGTTCTAGAAAGGTGACATGTCAAGAACCATACAATTTTTTACTTGTCAGATCGTAAGATCGAAATCCTTTTTGACCAATACAGTACCCTATGACATCTTCTAATTTAAGAACCAATTAAAATTCTTCTTTACGATTTTAAAATCATCTATTTATTTTTGCGGAAAATCCCAGTACAAAATATCATTTTGATTACGAATGTTTGTTTCCAAAAAGGTAAAACCCTAAGGATGTCATAATCAATATAGATACATAAGTTTCAGCGTAAAGACCTGATGGTCATGAATACTATTGCAAGCTATCTCTTAATCACTCATCATCCTAATCAGGTTTTAGTATCTTATGTCTTGATACCTGTGATACATATAAATTATGTGGGTCGGGATGGGAAACCTGGTGATATACAAAGGGATTTCAATCCCACAATATTGATATGATAATACTCCTTGATTATCAGACCTGCAAAACCAATCTTTTACCATTCTATGTCCATATAGGCTTACATTCCTACATATCTATTCCAACCGATCCTCACATATCCTAGACCATGATTATCAGGGAAAAATTATATCGCCTGATGAACCGTTAAATGATTGACTACACAGCTAGGCACTTCCTTGGCATGTCTAAGTCATAAAGAATAAACAGACATACCATTACAGTTGTCTGATTAGGACCTGCTATTTCTGGTTATCCAAGAACATGCAGACATACCATTATAGTTATCTTATCAGGACTTAGTATTTTTGGTTATACAAGAATATGTAGACATACCATTACAGTTGTCTGATCAAGAACTACTATTTCTGGTTATCTAAGAATATGCAGACATACCAATGCAGTTGTCTGATCGGGACCCACCATATCTTGTCATCCTAAGGGAAATCATATATCATTCACCTATATGGAGCTACCGTACATCGACACCTGAAAGTGTCACGGAACAGAACTCTACTCTCCTTTCATAGGTTACTCACATTCTCCTAATGAGACTACCTTATTTGAACTAGGTACCTTCCACAACTCTAAGTTTATCCCTATACTAGATTATAGTGACTGTGACCAACTTTTAATACCTACTATGTTCTTGCGTGAAACTAACTTATCTCTAGTGTATTTATATCCCCTACATGTATTTATGTTCCCTACATAGCATTAGGTACAATTATTATTTTATCTTCTCGTCATTTATACTTTTAATACTATTATATGATATTATCTATTTAATCCTAACATAAAATGGAACCATGTATTGTTAGAACATAGAACAATATATATTCTATTCCCAGCATGTATTTAATACTTGTATTAAATCATGTTCATGAAAGGGACTATGCATTTACTTGATAAAAGTGGATGCTTCGGAACTTGGGCAGAACTTCGCCTTGGTACTTTATCTATTCCTCTGACGTGACCTAGGTATGAATACCACTAAGTATTAGTCTAATTATTCCTTCATGATTAATGGTAATCGAGATTCTTCACTGATCCCAATAGATACTGAGAGTTCTATCAAGTAAGTATAAGCCAGGCAAGACAGTTGGGAGGTAGGATCATTTTGGCGTATAGCCTTTCTGAAATCCAACAACCCAGCCAATGTGAGCATTCTAGACATCTTTCTTGTAAATAGATCAATAAATATTATTAAGTGGAATCACTGTTAAATCTTATTTATAGGTTCATAATAATGACTTCTGAATATAAATATAAGTTACACTTAAAAGAATAGAGTGTAGCTTAACTTACAGAGGTTCTTCCTGAAAAAAGTTAGGAAATTGCATTGGCAGAGCTTCTACTTGCTAGCTACTACTACTTCAGGGATCGCAGGGCTTCATCGAAGACTAACACTGAGAGAAAATGGGCAAGAATTGAAAGAAATCGAGAGAGAATGTTTGGGAAGTTGTAGGAGAAAGAATGAGGCTTGGCCTCCTATTTATAGCCAACTTTGGTATGCACGTCGTGAAAATGGTGTGCACACCGTGCATTTTCAGGAGACGTCACCCTAGCCATTTTGTGCCATGTGTCAGACTCTCCGTGGTCCGTGTTTTCACCTTCTAAAAGCGCACGTCGCGCAATTAGCGCGCACCGCTGGCGGTGTAAAACACAGATTTTGTACATTCCATAACATCTTCATACAGACTCTGTTTTTGACGTTCTTTATATCCACAAAAAGCTCTCGAAGAGATCTATAACTTTACTTTAGACTCTATCGGCTAATTCCAACTTATTTTTAATCACTATGTTTTATATTATTAAGTGATTTTGTTAAGATCATAACTCTCTCATGCAGACTCCGTTTTTGGCAATTTTTTTCTAAAAAATTCCTACTTTAAAGAGTACTAGGATTTTCCTTTTGGTGACTTTAGCTAAAAGTCAACCATTCTTTTCATAGCATTTTATGTCACACATTCCTTGTGTGTGGCTGATTTTTATACCTAATAAAAATCATATCTAATTCATCTAGAATCAGATTTCCAGGTAATTTACATTTTCGGGATCGGGATGATGTTTTTATATATATATATATATATATATATATATATATATATATATATATATATACACGTTTTGGCGCACTATTTTTATGATTTACAGACTATTCGACTGATTTTTCCTAGTTTTCTATAATATGAAACTTGTATTATGTAGTCTGCAGTGTGCATGACCACAGATTATCCTATTCATGGATTTTAATTTTAATAATTATTACTTATTATGTG